GTATCTGTGTGGAGTTTGTGTGTTCTCCCTGTGCTTGCCTGGGTTTCCTCCAGGTTTTCCAGTTTCCTCTCACAGTCCAAAGACATACTGGTGGGTTAATTGGCTTCTGTAAAACTGGCCCTGGTGCGAGAGAGTCTCTGTGTTTGTATCTGGCGTCCCATCCAGGGTATATCCTGCCTTGCGCCCCTGGCTTGATGGGATAGGCTTCAGCTCCACTGCAGTGCCAAACAGGACGAAAAGGATAGAAAACGAATGGATGCATTGGATTGGCCTCCACTGTACAGTACATGGAGAAGCCCCACTTTGCGCTGTGTGCTTTTGTGATGGTCTGGGCCACAGTGACCCTTACCAGGAACAAGCAGCTTTCTGATCATGCATGGATAGACATCTTAGACTAGATTATTCTTTATTGCCACATAATAATAGTTGGAGGAATTTGCTATCGGTACAGCAAAACCACAGATGAGACATACATATAACATATACAGTACAAATTTAAATAGGACAGAAGACAGACAAACATTGTCACAAACATATGTAAAATCTTAGTTTTATGCTGGATATCTGTACTGTACTGTATGTGATGTAATATTTATGTATCATATTATATACATTGTACCGCTTTATATGTCATTTTTGATTTTGTAATTCGTAGTACAGGAGTGGAGTGTAAGACCGTACAATGGGGATTACACAGGAACAAGAACATTAATTAAGGTGCAATAACTGGATTTATTGTACTGAAAACCAAAGGGAAAGTGGTAGAGAACAGAGAAAGAATTGCATACTTTTATAGAAACATGGTGTACTTCCACAGCAATTCCAGGGGCATCTGTATCTGCTGTGGCAAACAAGATGTTAACGCAGACTCTTCAGCTTTCTGAGTCAGCATGTCGTGGGCAGCAGGATTTCAGCATGAAGAAGAAAATAGATACTGCAACAGCCTACTATTGCTGAAAAAATCATGCTAAATATTTAAAACAGTAATCGCACTGTATGTTAAAACCATGAAGAATTTCTGCTTTAATGCTTGTTTAATTGTAATATTAAAAGTAATAATTACATTTAACTTTCAAGGAAAACTTTGACTCATCTATGATGTGTTAATAAGCCATAGGCTTGTGTAGAAATGTTTCATTCTGCAGTGAAAGCCTATGAAAGAAGTTAACACTGAAGGGCTGTGGTTACATACAGTATGTCCATTCTCAAAAATATGTTGTTGAGATGCATATACAAAAAAATGTAATTTATTTAATATCAACCCTGGTCAATTCCCT